ACACTCCAGGCCAGCAGGGGCTCCCTGATCACCCCCTCTAGTCGCCCTGCAGAGGGAGGCAACCAGTGGCAGTGGCGGGGGCAGGGCTGGCGAGGAGGTGGTGGCAGGCTGGCCAAAGGCAGTGCCTATGAGGGACCCCAATTGCCCCACCAGTCACCCCACAGATCGGCCCTAATCACTGGCTAAGCCCAGGGACCCTACCCGTGCACAAATTTCATGCAGCAAGCCTCTAGTATCTCAATAAAGTCTTTAAAAAGTTAACGGAATTTCTATCTTGCTATTACATTGGTTTCATTTAGTCAAATAGTCTGAGATGGAAATGAGCATTTCAGTAGTTACTATATTACTACTCAGAGGACTAAAATTTTACTGAAATGAAAATACCAATCTAGGTCATATTTGCACCAGCAATTTTCAAAACTAAATTTATAATCAAACCTTGTGATTTCCACCGCCCTGAAAATCTTTGCTAATCAAATGGCAATCTATAAAGGTAGTCTGAGCCACAAAAAGTTTTGCTTCTAAAGAGAACAGGAAGAAAGCTCTCTACCTCCACCAGGACAAAGAACTACGAAGGACATAAAAGTTTCCCTGAACAAACATTACTCAAAAAACCAAGAGACCAACTATAGCAGAAATTCCTAACTTGAGTAAACAACAGAGATGGCAGAAGAGAACAAACAGCTAGAAGCTATTGTGGGGCTCAACACACAACCATAGCTTCCAGTTTATATAAACTTGGGTTTTAAATCTTGGATAGGACTCAAACTACAAGTTGCATGAAAAAGACTTCCTGTTTTCAAGGTGAGATTACCTCTAGCGCAAGTTAAGAAGACTAGTTTCTACATAACATTAGTCTGAATGCAAAGATGTTTTATTTTTCTGATTTTAAAATTTTTCAATTACAGTTGACACAGAATATTTTATTAACCTCAAGGGTACAACACAGTGATTAGACATTTATATAACATACGAAGTAAGTGCCCCAATTAAGTCTAGTACCCATCTGACATCATATACTAGTACAATTATTATAGTAGTATTGACTGTATTCCCTATGCTGCACTTTACATCCCATAACTGTTTTTATAACTAGAAATTTGATGTGTTTAAAAATATTTTTTTATTGGAAGAGAGGAAGGGAGAGATAGAAACATCAATGATGAGAATCACTGATTGGCTGCCTCCTGCATGCTCCCTACTGGGGATGGAGCCCACAACCTGGGCATGTCTCTGACCAGAATCAAACCATGACCTCCTGGTTATTAGGTCAACTCTCCACCACTAAGCCATGCAGAATGGGCTGATTATTTTTTGTTTTGTTTTTTTTGTTAATCCTCATCTGAGGATATTTTTCCATTGATTTTTAGGGAGAGTAGAAGAAAGAGGGAAAGACAGAGAAAAACATCAATATGAGAGAAACACATTGATTGGTTGCCTCCTCTATGAACTCCGACCAAAGCCTGGGCCAGGGAGGAGCCTGCAACCAGGATACTTGCCCTTGACTGGAATCTAACCTGGGACACTTTGGTCCACAGACCGATGATCTATCCACTGAGCCACACTGCGTGGGGCAAGGGCAGATTATTTTTTAATTAAAAAAAAGGAAAACACTTCCCACTTAAATTCTTAACATATAAGATATGTAACTACTGTCTTCAAACTGAATTGCTTTCCATGGGGACAAACAACAATTTTTTCCTAAAGTTGATGAAATCTTTGATCTAAATTGCAGAAAATCACTTCATAACCAACTTTGTAATTTGACACTTAGGTCCAAAGGGTGTTTTTCAAAATAGTACACAAGGAAAAAAAAGTTTTATAAAGCTTCTCTCACACTCCTACTTAAATTAATCCTTTTTAACTCATAAGGAATTATCATAAGAGTAATACAAACAAATTCTTAAGTAACTATCAGGAATCAGTAAAACTCCTTCCATTAGGGATGAAGTTTGTGAATATAATTTTAATGCAAAATTAGCTATCTTATTTCATTTGAGATAGAATGGACAGAGGGTCATCTCAAATTAATTATTAGGAAACTAGAGGCCTGGTGCACTGGCCTGCGGGGATCAGCCGAAACTGGCTCTCCGACATTCCCCAAGGGGTCCTGGATTAAAAGAGGGTGCAGGCCAGGCCAAGGGACTCCACTAGTGCATGATCAGGACCACATAGGGACCGTGGGAGGGCTCCAGGGCATGTCCAGCCCATCTAGCCCAGGCCCGATCAGCCAGACCCCAGCAGCAAGCTAACCTACAGTTCAGAATATCTGCCCCCTGGTGGTCAGTGCATGTCATAATGACCAGTCGAATGAATGGTCAAACACTTAGCATATTAGGCTTTTATTATATAGGATACTTTTGAAAAATAAAAAGATTTTTTCTATTAATTTTAGGGGGAAAATAGGCTAATTGGCATATGCTTCACTTTGACTTTAATTAGTGATAATCAAAATTATCGATTGTACTATAGTAGGAGGAGACCACTATAATAGCAACTATTATTCTATTAACTTTAAAGCAATTGTTGACTATTTCATTTATGAACTAAAGTAAGAGTTTTAAAATGCCAGGTATGTACAGGATAATAATATACAAACTATACATATATCCATTCAATATTTGAATACTTTCTACATTCAGGAAGCTGGACATTTTGCCCCTTTTTCTTGTAAAAGAATGACACCTAAGTAGATAGGTGCTTAACACATGCATTTTATGATAGCATTAGTGGCCTGGTGCACAGAATTTGCGCACATTAAAAGGGAATTAATTAGAGGAAATATTTTAATATTGTTATTTGCCCTTTCTCCATAAAGAAGTGTCATTGTTGAAAGAAAATTAGCAAAATATATATGAAAATCTCCCTCTTGTCAGAATCTGGGGCATGCCACGGGACCCAGAGTCAAGTCCCCACCCACCAGTGTGCACCTCGAAATCATGCGAGACCCAGAACTGGCTGGCCCCACCCCTATCAAGCCCCACAGGTCCCCCTGCCCCTGGCACCAGGGCATGAGAGGACAAGGGTGTGATGACCATTTGCACAGCAGCTCTTTATTATATAGGATGGTAGTTACAGATAACGTGGTTAACTTCAGCAGACATCTGTGTTACACATATGGCCATCAGAATAATTGTGGCATGCTTTTGTGACACTAAAAGAGGCCAAGCCTGTTGCAAAATGATTACTTTCAACAAAAACCTGCTTAAATTATTGTTTATTTAAATGGCATCTATCCAACATTACAGCATTATAAAGTTGCTATTGCATTTGAATCACTCACCAATCTTTAACCTATTTATAAAGCAAGGTAAACACCATTAGGTTATAAAAAGTAATTATGGACCAGTGTTTCTTTGAAAAAATTATTCTATTTGATCCCAAGTCTTGACTGCTCTCTTGACAGAATAATGTACATGCTCCACAGCTGACAGGGATACGCACGCTTTCATGATTAAACAGAAAGCTCACACTCCAGATGACTTTAGACTTTGCACTTCAGAAAGATTTCTTTGTTGTTTCAACATCAGATCATTTGTTATCTTTTTCCAATTGTTTCTGTCCCCAAGCCAAAGAGAATCTATATGTATTATTAAAAAATACATAGATTTGTCATTTCTGACTATTCTATTTGTACAGTACACCAAAGAATGTCACATAATCTTACAAGGCAAGTTCTTTTCCAGATTTCATTTGGGGAGAGGAGGTGTTTTCGAACATAAAGAAAAGTTGATAATATAAAATGAATATCTCCCCCTCCCCCAAAGTATTTTATTGACTTTTGCTAATTATAATTAACTGGGGACACCATATTCAAAACAATCTCCTAAAGGAAAGGGTTAACTTTATCTTGTGGCTTTCAGGGGTCATTTTTGCCCCTTTTTCTTGTAAAAGAGAGACACCTGGGAATTGAGAATTCTGTACACCAAGAATAGTCATATCACAGCTGAAGCTTCTAGCAAGAAGCAGTACTGGAAAGCACATAAAGCTATGTAAAAACCGATTCGCATAAGGAAATGCCCAGGACCAACGCCATGAGGATTCACTGCTGAGATGACAAGACTAGGAAAGGACACTTGCCAGCCTGAATCCGATTTCTCAGACGCCCAGCTCTAAGGGAGTCGCTTCCCTCCACCAGACTGGCTGCTGAGTTATCTAAAATGCCTGCCACCTAAAAGTGAAGGAGAAAAGAAAACAAAACAACCCGCTCCCAATTCCCACCACCTCTTAGTAGTAACGTCCTCCTCGTTGCTAGGGCAAAAGGAGGGAGCGCAGAGGCCTCCTCCATCAGGTTGTCAATAAGAGCCCAGCAAAATGAAGGAAGTGGATCTCTGCCATCTCCCAGGCTTTTTGTTTGGGCTCTCTAGGTTAACCGTAGTCACTGCACTTGAACGACCTACAAACAGAAGCCGTTATTACCGAGTCGCTCTGAGAAAATGTGGACTTAAATGTGGGGAGGCAGCCAGCTGGCTTGCGGAAAGGGAAATGATTTTCTGTCCCAACGTAGCCATGCCCAACGACGCGGCCAGGCAACACAATCACAACCGCCCAAGAAAACGTGTTTCAGCGCAAGAACTCTTTTTTACTTCCCTTAAGGATCCTATGAAGAAAAGGCAGAGGGAGATGGAGCCATAGGCTGTCCATACATTTAATGCTGCGACTCCCTGGGAGCTGCAGGGGAGGGAGGCCGAGATGCTCTAGGAGGAGGCCAGGGTTGAGAAGGTTCCTGGCCTCAGATGCAGGACCGTGGGTTGCAGCTGAGAGTTGGTGCGTGGGCTATCTTTTGAGACATCAAACTTACTTTCCTTTAGGAGGGGACTCCAAGTTCACCCACAACTGCCACGTCCGCCCTCTACCTACGCGCAGGGGTGCGGGGGAGGGGGGAGCAGCTAGGGCTCCTTCCCACCGCGCGGAGACCCGGCACCCCTCCCAAAGCCGGGGACCCCCTTCCTCCCCCCCCGACTGCCAAACCCCCGAACACGCCCCCTTCCTGTGCCTACCTTGATGCCCTGCTGCTGGGTGGTGAGGGTTAACTTGGACTCATCCAGGAGCAAAACTTCGCAGTAAAATTCCTCGGGCACCGCGCAGAAGCAGCCCATGTCGGCGGCGGCGGCGGTGTCCAGCCGGACGAGAGACTGCGACCCAAGCGCGCAGCCGCCCCCTCCTCCCCTCAATCAAGCCCGAGGCGTTAATGCATTGTCCGCGCCGGGGCCAGGGCAGCAGGAACGGCTGTCGGCGAGGTCCGGGGCGGGGGGCTCAGAGTGCGGAGAAGCCCGGAGATTAGCGCCCGGGAGCAGCCGGGGCAGCGCCTGCGGACCTGGGTGCGGAGCGCGGCGGCGGCGCGCCCCGGCACATCCTGCGGCTCCGGCTCCTCCGAAGGCCGGGACGCCGCGCCCTCTCCCGCCGCAGCCCTGGGGACCGCAGAAGTCTCCCGGCAATTGGGGAGCCAGAGGCAAGCTACGGGAGGGACGAGAGCTCGAGGCCCTCCCCAGACTTGGATGCTCCTGGGAGCTCTAAAGACCCCTGCGCCCGCGCACCACCGGAGCGCGGCCGGGGCGCATCGACCTCCTCCTCCTCCCGACCTGCGGAGCCCCCAGAGGGCGCGCCCTTCCAGCTCCGATCCCCACCCCGCAGGTCCCAGTCCGGTCCGGTCCGCCGACGGGGAGCGCTGGGCTGTTCCTTTGTGTCACGGGCACCCACGACGTCCCGGCAACAACACCGGGATCATCCCTTCCCGGTCCGCGGGCACCCAGGAGCCCGGAGGCGGTCGGAACGGGCAGCGGGTTCCTACCGAGACCAACGGTGAGTAGAGGTCAGCCCGTCGCGCAGGGTGGCTTCAGGGCGGGGAGCCCCGAGCTCATCGCGGAGGACCGAGTAGAAGGGCCAAGTTCAAGCTCTCCCTTCGAGAATCCCCGGATCCGCGGCGGGGGGCAGCTTCCCCGGGAGTTTCAGAGGGAGGGCTTGCCTCCGGGCCCCGGGGCTGGAAATGCGGCGGGCGGGCGGGGGTGCGCCCTGGGGCGCCAGGCCCGGGCGGCTCCGGGGAAAGTTCTCACCGGTGCTCGAGGTGCGGCTGCCCGGGCGGGAGCAGCCAAGGGACGGCTGGGTCCGCCCCGGCGTCCGCAGAAGGACCTCTGGAAGAGCTAAGCGAGGGCCGATCCGCCGGCCGGGGGCGCCCCTTCTGGGCGGGGTCTCGGCGGGGGGCGGAGGGCGGAGCGGAGGTAGGCGAATGGCGAGGTGCCCACAGGTCCGCCCGGCGATCCGCGCCCGGCGCCGGAGCCACGAGGCCGCCGGGAGCCCCGGCCCCTCGCGCAGCGTCCGTTTCCCGGGGAGACGGGGAGGCGGGCTCCGGGGGGGCCGAGCGCATTCCTCCGCGGACCCGGCCTCTCCGCGCCCTGGCCCCACGCCCTCCGCGCGGACGGCGTGTCCGGAACTGGCGAGCACGACAGCGCTGAGGCTGCAGTGACCCCTGGTGGGTCCTCGGGTTCGTGCACGGACCGCCCGACCGAGCTGCCTCCCAGCAGGTGCAATCCGTGCGCTCCCGCTGGGAACCCGCGTGGAGTTCATTAACGCGCGTCCTCGTGGTTCCTGGAGACGCGCGGGAGGACACAGAGCCGCGTTGAGGGCAGGCCTCTCAGAAAACTCTGTAATTTCGTATTAGGGAGTGCAAGAGCTTGGGCATCAGACATAGTTTTGAGTTCCAAGCTTAGGTAACCAAAGCTCAAAAAAGAAAAAATTGCTTAAAATGCCTTAAAAATAGTACCTTACACATAAACTAATGATAATTTTAAAGCTGGCAACGGCAGCGCGGTAGAACGGAAATGAACAATTTGTGACTTGGGAGGGAGTTTCCTTCCATAGTGATCTGCCACAAAGAACCGTCTGTGGGAAGCCCTTTTCCCTGCTATAGTAGCTCCATCTAAACATGAAGAGCACAACCCCCCAGAGGGCGATGCAAATCTGCCATGTTTGGTATGAACTTTACGAAAAGCTGTGAATCAAACCGATTTGATCTCCCAGGCTTTCTGTGAAATGGAAGCAGGTTTTGAGTTTCTAATCAAATTTCTCTGTTCAACTTCGGGTTGTATTGTCCAAGTTTTGCCTGACGTGAGCTAACACCTTATTTATTCTAGGTTTAGCATCTTTGCTTGTGGGGGCTTTTCTTTTCTGTAATATAATACTGGCACAAATTGCCAAAGGGGATCGAAAATTTTCGGAGCGGATTTTCATTCATTATCATAATATTCAGTAGGGCCTCCTTAGTTTGCAAAAGCAAAAGATAGGGCCAGGTGTAATCGTTTATTTCCCAGTTTTGGGTCTTGTTGCCACGTGTTTTATGTCCTCTGATTCTGGAGGTTTTGTTTTACCTTTAATGGTGATGGAAAGGCTGGGGTTTGGGGGTGAGGCGGCAGTTCTGTTCCATGCTCCTCACAATGAAGAGTAAAATGTCATGAAGCCCTGTACAAATGACAAACTTTTCTTAGTGAGGCATTTTCTTTTCCATTTCTTTATCAGGGATAGAGAAAAGAAAAAGAAAAATCCATTTAACACAAAATTGGAGTTTCCTAGAGATAATGGGAAGATTCCATGGCTAAAATAATAACAATGTTAATGAGCCATTGATATATACAATAAACTGCATATATTTAGAGTAAAATTTGACACATTTTGATCTATGTATACACTCATTAAACCACCACCAAAATTAAGCTAGTGAATATATCCTTCAACCATAAAATTTCCTTCTGGAACTTATGAAAGCTTCCTCCTGCTCCTCGTCACACCTCACCTTCCAGATAACCCCCACTCTGCTTTTTGTCACTCGATTTTCTGTATTATCTAGAGTAGGGGTGTCGAACTCAATCAGAGAAGGGGCCAAAATCTAAAATCCAGCCTAAATCGCGGGCCGAATGGTTTACTGAACAGTCATAAACTGTCATTGTGATGGAAACGCAGCGGAGTGCAGTAATGACAGCGCGGTGCGGGCCACATTGCAAGGCCTGGCGGGACGGATTTGGCCCGTGGGCCTTGTGTTTGACACATGTGATCTAGAGTGTTATCAAATGGAATCATGCTGTGAACTTTTTTTTTTTTTGGAGGGGGAGGGTCTGGTTTTGTTTTGCTCAGCATAATTATTTTGAGATTTATCCATGTTGTGGATATCAATCGTTTATCCATTTGAATTGCTCAGTAGTATCTACCTATATAAAAGCCTACATGACCATCACAACTGAACAGGCTGCACGGGGTGACCCGGCTGGTAGGGGAGTTAGTGAAGGGCAACCAAATGACTGAGCAGCAGGCTGTGTGGGGCGACCAGGCTGATGGGAGGAGGGGGGAAACAATTGAGGGTGGCCAGGCCAGCAGGGGTGGCAGTTAGGGGCCACCAGGAAGGCAGGCAGGCAGATGAGCAATTAGGAGCCAGCAGTCCAGGATTGTGAGAGGGATGTCCGACTGCAGCCTAAACCGGCAGTCAGACATCCCCTGAGAGGTCCCTGATTGAAGAGGGTGTAGACTGGGCTGAGGGGACTCCCTGGCCCTATGCATGAATTTCATGCACCTGACCTCTAGTTCATTTATATGTACCTACAACAATTGTTTACCTATTTATTTGTGTACTAGTAATTTCCAATTTTTCACTATTACAAATATTATAAGTATTACAAATCTTGCTCTGAGGATTGTACTAGTAAGCTCAGGTTGCCATAACAAAACACCTTAGGCTAGATGGCTTTAACAACAGACACTTATTTTCTCACAATTTTGGATGCTGCAAGTCCAAGATCAGGTGCCAGCATAGTCACTTTCTGGTGAAACCTCTCTTCCTGGCTTATAGGTGGTTGCCAGCCCACTGTGTCTGCTTCTTTGTTGGGAAGTGTGGGGGGAAACACAAGTTCTATGATTCTTCTTCTTCTTCACAGAGAGGAAGGGAGAGGGATAGAAAATTAGTAACATCGATGAGAGAGAAACATCAAACCGCTGCCTCCTGCATATCTCCTACTGGGGATGTGCCCACAACCAAGCTACATGTCCTTGACTGGAATCAAACCTGGGACCTTTCAGTCCGAAGGCCGACGCTCTATCCACTGAGCCAAGCCAGTTAGGCGGTGTTTCTTCTTATAAAGACACTAAACCTTTTGTATCAAGATCCCACCCTTATCACTTCATTTAATCTGAATTATTTCCTTATAGGCCCCATCTCCAAATACAGACACATTGGGGGCTAGAGATTCAACCTATAAATTTGGAGGGGACATAGCTCAGCCTATAACAAGGATCCATATCTTTGTATGAACATTTTACTTCTTTTGAAATTAAAAAAAAAAAGAGTGGAATAATTGGGTTAGAAGATATACAAATGGAAAATAAGCACAGGAGAAGATGCTCAACATCATTAGTGATTAGGGAAATTCGTATTAAAATCACCATAAGAGACACCTGCAGGTCTAGTAGAATGGCCACCATACCAAGCTCCCGCACCTCCATACCAAGTGTTGGTGAGAATGAGGGAAAGTTTGTGTATGCATACACTGCTGGTGGGAATGAAAATGGTACAACCACTTTGGATAACACTTTGACACTTTCTTAAAAAGTTGAACATATAAACATATATCTTCCACAGAGTTTTGGAGAAAGATTTTTTCTGACTATGCAGAGAAATAAATTGACAAGATATTCAAACACACCCCACCGCCCCTACCCCTAGAAAAATCATATAGTTTTCCAACATGTGCATAACATAATACAGTCTCTTTAAAGCCTGTGTCAAAACCTTTGATCTCTTTTCAGAGATTTTTTTTTTATAAAAATATTTTCTTTGGTTAAGATGACATTTTGTCATAATAAGCCTATGTAGATGAGTCAAATGACAAACAAACTGAGAGTAGATACAATTTTATGGAAATATGTAGACCATCTGTGAAGGACTGTAGGAATTCTCAGTCTGGAAAAAAAGCAATTTGATTTCACATAAAACAGGCCCCCATCCATTGCTGAAACATGCATTTCACATCGCCAGATACAGAATTCTGTGTAAAGCACTATATTCTGTTTAGGAAGATGTCTTTAAACAATCCATGCCTTCCATCTTTTTTTTTTTTTTTTTTTTTTTTACTTTTTGTATTTTCCAA